GGGGTAGATGGGGGCAGATGGGGGGTAGATGGGGGCAGACGGGGCAGATGGGGAGCTGAAGGGATGAAGGAACAGAAGGTCAGACAGGATGTCATTGACCCGTCAAACCACTCAGACGGCGGTTACATCATCATGAGCAGCGATAAACTGAATGAATCCGATGTTTCCAGATGCAGACGGAGGTTAAACAAAAGTCAGCCTTTCTGTTAGCGTTTAAAAGATGTGCTCTCCCTCTCGCTGCCCCACAGCCTGATGGGTCACAGACATCAAAGACGCCTCTAACATCCCTTCAGCTTCCACTTTGTTCTCATTGAAGATAGAAATAACTCAGCCTGAGTCTCAGTAACAGCATCCAGGATCAGTTTGAACTTTGACCTGATGACCATTTAAAGGATCTCCTTGTGTGTTTGCTGGAGGCTCTTTAGCAGCATCATGTCTGGTAGGCGGGACATGGAGTGATGCATCCGCCACCGTCCTGCAGCTCCACCTGCTGGTAACCACAGTAACGCAGTCTGCTGCATCAGTCAGACCGGAGGGTGGATGCTGCCCCACCTGCCTCTCTGTGGTGAAGCAGCTTTGCTCCTCATCGGACCGGTCCTGGTTGGTTCTGAACGTCTGGATCTGCAGCTTGTTGAAGGAAGCTGAATTGTTTGTAGTGAATCCAGAGCACTGAGGGTCCGCGCCTCCTGTGATGAAGAAGATGTTCAGCTGTTCTGCTTCCAGGCGAGGCGGGACGGCAGTGGCGTTCCCGTAGAGTCGCTCCCTCCCTTCTGCCCCGACCTGCCTCCCACCTAAAGGGGCGAAAGCAGGATGTGCCAAACGCAGCCGCCCGCTGAGTGGCGGCGAGCAGTCCGTGCAGCCGCCCGCTGAGTGGCGGCGAGCAGTCCCTGCATGTTTTCACTCAGTCCGGGTTTCATTTCTGGTTCCAGAGGATCATTGGTGTACAGTCGTATATTTATTTATTCCTGTATTTATTTATTTAAATAAATGTGTCTTATTTGCAGAATTTATTTATTGAAAAGGCATTTCAACAATTTTCTTTACGTTTGCTTCAAATGTGACCTTAATTGAGCTAATTGCTGTTTGATTATTAACGATATGATGATTTATGTTGTGACATTTCAGGCCCCTTTAGTAAAATGGACTAAACTTCATGAACATGATGATCTTCAGCCTGGTTTTCCTCCGTGAAGTCTGTGTTGCTGTTTGGTCCCTCCAGTTAGGGCCTACCTGCTCTAATGTTATATTTACTGTCATTGTGCTGAATGTGGCAGCAGATCTACAAAGTGTGATTTCCATAAAGCTTCTAACATGTGATGTCACCCTCTGCCATGGCTGAACAATGTTTACATCATCCAATTCCTGAAAAAGATCTCAGCCGATTCTCTGGAAGCTTATTACTGACAAAACTCCTAAAACTGGAAAAACCTCCAGAGGCGAGCGTCATCCAGCGCCCTGCAATCCACCGCTTAACCCGCTTAACCAGGTTAACCCGGTTAACCCGGTTAGAGGACTAGTTCAGGCTTGGTGAGGGGAGGTTCTGCTGAAGCAAAGAATCACATCAGAATCAGACTCCATGATGGTTTGGGGTCAGCCTGCAGCGTTTCTGGTCATCAGCATGTTTGCAGTCAAGCTGCTCGTTATTCAGACAGGAAATGGATTCTGGAGGCGTCTCTGATCTTCCTGAACCGCAGCAGGAAACGGAAACACCTTCAAATTTTAAGCTCAGCTTTAGAAGATGATAAAATCTAAGGAATCATCATCTGATTGGCTGCTGCTGACGACTGAATGTCTTTATGGTCACAATAGATCCAGATCCAGAACTATGGGCTACATTATGGGCTGGAGCTGCTGAGCTGAGCTTAGCTTAGCTTAGCTTAGCTTAGCTTTAAGTCCAGCAGCGTTTAAAACTCGCTGTGGATCATGAACCTCAGAGGAATCGGCTCCACCTGCCGGCTCAGAAATGAGGCTGATCCTTCTCATTCTTTCACATCTGGATTTTCATGTCACGCATATTTATTTGATAGAAAAGCATCGCTATCCAGCCCTACTTTCTACAGAACAAATACTTCAACAATGTTTGACTCTAATGTTCAAACTGAATATTATTTGATTGATGTGCCGCATTTCTCCAGACCAGATCTTAAGGTTATTAGTTACCTAGAAATCAGATCTAGAAAGTTTATCAGGCTGCATTGTTTATTAGTGATCATCTAAAATGATCTATTTCCTATTTCTATGTTTCCATCATAAAATTATTAAGGCTGCATCTGAAGCTGGGAACTAAGTGAGCATCTGGACTTTACTGAGAACAGAGAGATTCTGAGAATAAAACTAACCGGCTTCCCTCTGCAGGCTGTTAGTTCAGCTTCTTGGAGAACCGCTGAAATAACAGGATTCTTTAAACGCACCTGTTGGTCCCAGAAGTTCCCACCTGAGCAGAGCTGAAGGATGGGAACATGAGCCTCCTGCAGTTTAGAGGAGCAGCACCAGGAGGTCATCATGAGGAGGAACCTGGGTTTCCTTCGATGTTTTCCTGCAGGAGGTTTAAACTTTTTACAGAACCTCTCCTCAGAAACCCTCAACGCTCAGTTTAAGGTTCTTATTGTGGAAAACAACGTGTTTTTTAGGATGATTGTAATAATTTGAACCATATTTAGCCTCTTTGTTCCTGTTTAATCTCAGCCGTGGAGTTTCTCCGCTTTGGGGATTTTGCTTCTGATGAGCTTCCAATGAATTCACACGTCTGTTTACATAAGATGAGCTCTCATGTCATTTTGTAGCTGCAACCGACTAACCTTTGTACGGAGCATCACCCCGGTCATTTTCTAAGGCGGATCCTTTCTATCACTGTCTGCGCTCCTTTGCTCATCGTTCAGCGTTTTGTTACGACCCTTGTACAGCACAAGTCTAACTAAGCAGTCAAATAAAACTGATGATTTACTGACTTTATGGAGATGCTGCTTTTTTCTCTCAGTGCTGCTGATGCTGAGCGCACTTTAACTGATGGCCACTGGGTGGCAGTGGAGAGTCCCTAAGTCTGAGATGACGTCACCATTGGACCTTTAATATAAAGAAAATGCTGAGATCTGTGTGAAGAGTTATTTGATCCTCAAAATAATAAATTTAGTTCATTATTTTTTTGAACAACTGATCAACCAGGTGGAAAAACCGCCGCTTATTTCAGGAAGTTAAAGGAAATATTTTAAGCTTTAATTGATAATAAGTTAGAGGAGGATGGAGGCAGCAGCTGTTTCTCCATCTGCACCACCTCCAGTTTCCTGGCTTCTCTTTCTATCTCACTCTGAGAAAAATTTAATATTTATGCTCATTTAGCGTCTTTTAAGAGAAAAATTAGGGGGCTATTTTTTCCCACATTTTTTTCATTATGTCATTTATTCAATTATAAAAGTCAAACTTCTAAACTAAATATTTATTATTTTAACTGAAAATTTAGTGTCTAAACTTAACATTTGTTAGAGTTTGTTAAATAACTATTTAGCATCAAGCTAAATAGTTATTTAAGAAACTAAATATTAATGTTGCCCCGATACCAGTACCGGACGGGCCCCCGATCCAGCACTATAATGGTGGTATTGGTATTGTCACCCATTCCAGGTAGGAAATAAAAAGTTCTACTGGATTCAGTTTGTTTTAGTCTGTTTCCTGCTTCACTAAGGAAGGCAGCAGCTTGAAGCCATGATGGTGATTATTTTACATCCAGCAGGATGCAGTTCTTTATATAAACACACATCATTTCAAACTGAAGGTATCAGCTGATGCTGCTCAGCCTGGCATCAGCGCAACACTACTAAATATTTAGCTAGCACCAAGCTAGTTAAATATTTATTTAATATTAACTTAAATATTAACATATTTAACTTGCTGACTATTTTTGATTGACAATCAAAATATTTAGTTTTAAACTTTGATTTAAAGAAATGAATGACATAATGAAAAAATAAAGTAAATAACCAGAACTAGTTTCTAACTGCTAACTTCCCAAACGGCTCCACTGCAGCGGAGAAAAGCTCGTTTCTCTCTCATTTAT